TGGAGAAAAGTTTTGATGCTTTGTTAGAGTTGGCTGTTTTTTTGTTTGTTTAGAAGACTTGTTCTTTGTACAGCAAGGTATAATATATATATATATATAGCACCCATTATTACTATTTTTTTGTTTGTTTGTTTGTTTTTTCTTTTTAATTCCTTTTAGTAATGTCAATGTGAATTAGTGTCAATGGTTTATTTGAGCCGACATTTGTCAAATAAAATTCGGATAATTAAGTAATAAGGCTTTTTGTTAATTAGTTTTTTCGGACATATATGCATATTTTAAAATTAAAATATCGTATTTTACAAAATAATATATAAACACAAAAGTTTAATATCTCATAGCATAAATACATAAGAATATGCATTTTCTGTTTAAAATAATATAACGGGTCGACCTGTTTAACCTTTAGATATAAACATTCTGATATAAGAATTCGTGTATTTAGATAGTTTTATTTTACAAAACAATATATAAACACAAAATTTTAATATTTCATAGCATAAATACATAAGAATATACATTTTTTGTTTAAAAAAATATAACAGATCGATCTGTTTAACAGTTAAATAGATATTCTGATATAAGATTCGTGAATTTAGATAGTTTTTTGTTGAAAAATTGTTCTCACTTCAAGATATATAATGGTGAAATTCTATCAGAAGATTTCAATCAAAATATATTCATTTCCAATGGAATTTCAATAGCAATTCCTATGGATATTCCGATACTGTTATTTTCGCTGGATTTCGACGGAAGTTACAATAGAAATATTCTGTTGGAATGAATTTTTAATTGGAATTTCCGTTAGATTCTGACGATTCTAATGGTTGAAATATGGGTGAAATAAGTTTTTCAGTAAAAATTGCATATTCCATCGAAGATTCCTACAGTAACAAACTGTTGGAAAAATAGTCGTTGAAATTATCAAATTTCATCTAAAATTCCAACGAAAATCTCATTTCAACAGTATATTTCCGGTGAAAAATGGAAACTGTACCATTGGAATAATCTGTTGGAACTTTGGAATACGATTTTTCATTAGAATATAGAAATTATTATTATTATTATTATTATTATTATTATTATTATTATTATTATTATTGTGGAGATATTGAGGTGTTATATTGTTGGAATATCACTTGTGAGTTGTCCCAAATTGATTCTACATGGTAAATGAGCCTAGTTTATAAACCTATATAGTGGGTTACTCCTCCTATCATCAATTGGTTTTGGGATGGAACCTCACTATGATACACTTAGACTCACCCTCTTATAGTGCGCTTCATCTTGTGGGATCGCACCCTCTTGCCCCGATTATATAAGACTAATATATATCAATACTTTAAATTTGATTTTTCAGAATGAATTCAAGTACGCTTCAAAATTGTTATATTCACTTTCTTCTGTAGAGTTTATCATGGTCCTGAGATTTTATGAAGAATCTTTGTGGTGTATTTTTTCTCTCCCATTTAAGTCACACATTTATTATTATGAATATAATAATCAAATGTGAACAATATTTTTCCAATGTCATAATTAAGATAAGAGTCATGCTAAACAATCAGTTTGATTTACAGATTGGTTATAAAAATAAAAAATAAAAATAATACACATAACAGTCATTGCATTTTTATTATAACTCCTACCTAAGTTTGACTCTGGATTTCCAGTTATGTTAAAGCTAAATAAATTGCATTAGTTTTGTGCTATAAACATCGTTAGGAAAAATAAAATTAAAAAAATAGACAGCAATTATTTGAGACAATATTTTGTCTCAGTAAACCATTTTGTTCCACTTGGCTAATCATGAAGGATTATTTATCTGCCTATATATATAATTATTATAGTGAAGAGATACACAAGTCAAAGTTGGATTCACTCTAGTTTCAATAATTGGCTGTCTAATCCTCTTTAGTGGCACTAAATTAATCCAAACCCAATATCAAGACAGAAAAAAGGGCTCCTCTGTCATAGTGTAATTAACTTAATTTGATTTGTTGGTCTCTCTAATCTAGCAACCTAAGCCTACCCAAACAATGGCATACAATTTAAATCTGAATATTGATTAATTAATTAATTAGGTCACCAGTTGGAGTTTTATAATTACCATTAGAATTAATTTTTCAGACTTGATTTAGTTAGTTAACCAAACTATTTAGTTTGCAATAATATGAAGGGCAAAAGTAGTTATTCCTCTGATATTTAACCGCCAACCAATTGCAGTTTATACAACAAATTAAATTAAATTAACCCCTTAAACAATATATATATATATATATGTATATATTTAAAAACTAAAAATAAATAAAAAATACCTAGGCATGGACTTTGTCCAAAAGTCCCAAACTACAAAGTGCGATGAAAATCAAATGGTGACAAGTGCAAATCATTTATTTACATCAAGACCCTCAGCACACTTGTTGCATGAGTGCATGTACACACTGACACACATCTGACAACACAAATATATTTCATAAATTAATGAGAATATAAATAAAATTTGATTATCTAGAATTTAGTAATTGTTTCATTGAAATTATGGAACTCAACAAGAGTTAGTTAGATATATATACTTTACTAGCTATATATCTTTGTTCAAAAAATTCATCTATGATATAACATGGATAAATAAATCAAAAGGAAGTTTAAATGCCAAAGCTAAGCCAATTAAATTTTGAGGGCTCAAATTAGTAAAAAATCACATTACCAACAATATTCTATATATGTAATTATGAGAGGGGTAAACGAGCCGAAACTCGAGCTCAGACTCGTGCAAACTAAACAAGCCAATAGAAGAGTTCGAGTTCTGCTCATTTATCTACATTAATGAGTTGAACTCGAGCCTAAATGGGCCGACTTATAGTAAAAGTTGAAAATACTACGTAAAGTTCATATTCTCGAATTTTAACGAGTTGAGTCAAGTCGAACTTGAGCTTTAACGAATTTAGTCGAACCGTGCTTCCGAGCTCACTCGTGGCTCGTTTTGGTTAGCAAATTTAGTGTAATTGAACAAAAGATGTAGTGTGCAAAATAAATATGCAAAATAATATGTGTAATTATTCATAGTATTTTGTTTGGACAGAAATCTGTAATTATTTATTTTCATCATTAAAAGTACCACATCATTTTTTTTTTGTTTCCTATAATTACGTACTTAAACAAGATGATTTCATTTATTTATTTTTTTAAAAAAAGAAAGCAGCATATCTAATGGTCAATTGAATCTTTACAGTTATCTAGACCTTGATTCAGTAGGTTAAAAAGAAAGACTTCTAAAAAATTGAAGTCCAAAACAAATATTAAGTAATTTTGACTAATATAATTACGTGGTGAATTAATTAATATAACTGTCCCTTGCTGGTCTTCAATACTTACTAGTATTCTCAATCATTCAGCATCTCGTGCTTTCACATCTCGTGCTTAAATAAAATTTTTTATAAACATTACTGTTTATATGATGGCGAAAAAACAAAATTTCGGACCTATAAATAATTAGACCAATGAACTGTAAAGTCTCCCATTTTAATACCTTAATTAAATAAATAATGACGACTATCTCGTCATGATATGTGTATGATCTGACCCATTATGAGACGAATTACATTGCGCAAAATAAAAAATTAAACCTGATAAAAAATACTAGGAAAAGGGAAAAATAATAATAAGGATGAAAAAAAAAATGGAGCTAAGTTTTTCTAATATTATATCATTAGTTTCTGTGTATTTGTTTGCTAATCATTTATAATCGTTTTGCATATACTATATTTTTTAAAAATATTTTAAGAAAATACTACATTAATTTCAAAATAAATGACAAAATACATCTTGAAATACAATTAGAATCCAACTTATTACATCATATCCTAAAAAACTTCATTATAAATTATGTTTCAGTTCCACATTAAATCTAAATTACCCAATCACATTCATCATTGTCCATTAGATTAATGAGGGCATATGCAGTAATTTCCCAAAAGCCGAGGGACTGACTTGTAATTACCCGGCCCAACCTCAAAATCGATACTTAGTCAACTACAGACACTGCTTGTGGATGAAACCTCCTGCAGAATGTTTCTTCAGCTGCTCTTAGCCTTTCGTTATCCTGCAAATCGTACCATTTTATTTATTTTGCAAAGTAAATTGCAATTTTGATTGATCAATTGAATATATTTTTACAAAAAATTAATCTCTGAAGCTAAATTACCGAAAATCTACCTTTCCTTGAAACGAGATGATTAGAGGGCCTCCCCTGGATTCACGATAAGCTCCTTCACATCACAAGGAAATCGAAAAAAAAAGGACTGTTTTAACATGAAATGGAGAAGAATGTACAGACAAAGTAATATCTATTCGAAACGAAAATCTTACCTATGTAGAGATCTGGAAATTTATTACAAATTTCCGAAAGTGGCNATCGAAATTATTTTTAGTTTTTCTCTTCTTTTCTCTCTTTTTTCCCCTCAAAATTATATTCGAAAAAACTTAAAGGCAAATGAATCCTCACATCTGAAAGAGATATTGCCACTCTCTTTGAAGAAAAAAGTTCTGCAATTACTAAAGGCCAGTTGGGGCTCATCAACTCAGTCAAACATTTCCATTCGTTTTCCAGTTCAGCAGCATTTGTTGAGGTTAGAATTACGACATTTCGGCACTTGATCTGCAAAAACCCGAACAAGATAAAAAAACCAATATTCATTTGTCCAAAAAATGTTAAAAATTAAAATAAATAATAAGAAGGGATTCAACACACTAAAGGTACACTCAGTTTATCGTGATGCAACAATTCGGTGATGCCTTCGGGTAACTGAGCCATCTGTAACAGGAAAAGAAAAATACACAATTGATATCAAATTCTGGCGAAAAATGAGTTCATATACCAATAATGAGATAATATCAAACAATTTTGTTTGTCAATTTTGTACGTGAATTTTTTCTAATAGATGAATCATGAATATCATATTTGTATCTATCTACATTACCTCATTCCTATCTCCAGTGCATTTTTCCTCAATCAGATGCCTCAAATATTCTTCGAATTCTTCATCGGGGGCCTTCAATAAAAAGAATAAATATAGAATAAATGTGATGAAGGAAAAACTAAAAGCCCTCTAATTTCCTTTTCTTACAAAAACATTAATTAGATAAAAAGCTATAAATTCATAAATTAAAAACGAGTTAAAGATATTGGTCATAGATAAAATTTTACCGTACGAACACCAAATGCTTTAGCGACACCGGCTAAAGTTACATCTGAAGGCAATGGGCCAACCCCTCCATATATGAATACCTACAGTTCCATTGCCATTTAAAATTTGCAATCTTATCTTACAACAAATTAAGCTCGTAAACTTATTATAGATTGCAAAAGCTTACCACATCATTAGTAAGCTTTTGTTGCTCGACTTCATCTGCAACAGAGTCAACCTGAAAAAAAAAAAGAAAAAAAAAAGGCAATTTTAAAGATATATCACAAAAGCAAAGATTTTATAACCAAAAACTAATTTGCAGGTATCAAGGTTTAGGGTGTGTTTATTTATAAATTATTTCAACTCATACTCAAAATCCAACTCAACTTTAACTCAACTCTGCTATCATCAATATTATCAATATAATTCAATAATATCAACCAATCATTCTTACATATCACATCAGCTTTAATTCACTATTCATCCACTCACATAATTTTAACTAAACATCACTTCACATTATATCTCTCATACTTTTTATTTTAAATATTATTCTAATATAAACTCAAAAGCTCACTAACAACTAACCATACCAACTTTTCCAAAATTAACCCTAGTTAACAAAAAAAACTCATTTTGAGCGGATATATTTGTATACAAAATGTCCAAATTCACCAATTCTTACATCATTTCTTGTAACAGAAAAATGTGAAACGGCCCAGCCTACGGACTGGAGTTTTTTGCGAAGAACGAATCCCATACGATCCTCAACAGTGCCAAACCTGAGCTATGGAAAGAACAAGAAAAAAAAATGTTTTAACTTAGAAAATGACTGGAAATTACACGTAGACCCACGGCAGTTGGAGCAAGATATAGTTACTTCATTGAATTGGGTTATTAGTTTCCTATGTACATTAAATGGAAAAAAAAAAGAAAATAATATTTAAAAAAAAA